CCCCTCTCCCTCTCTGTGTCTAAAGTCCCCAGCTGCTCCATCTCTCCATGTCATCATCTCTGCCTTCATCTCAGACATCACTGCTTCTCTGGGTAGGGTCCCACTCTCCACTCTTCTCCCTTGATGGTCCCAGGAACCTCCGCAGAGCATCAGTTTTACATTCAACAAATCATGTACTTTGTTTCATTACAATGGTTATAATCCCCTTCATGTATCATTGTTTAACAGTCTTTCTCTATATTCATTTTAACTTTTTTTTTTTTTAAGACACTCAGGCTTATATAATAATATACACCACTAAAGGTCGCATTCTGCAAGTCTTGCCTTTTTGCCGCCAGCTCTTAGTCCCTCTCTTTCCATGAATCTAGAGTCCTCAGCTTCTCCCTCTTTCTCTGTCCCCATCTCTACCTCTATCTCTGGTGTCGCTGTTTCTCTTGATGAGGTCCCGCATTCCTCTTGTGCTCTTCTCCCTTGATGGTCTTAGAGTCCTCTGTTTCTGGACTGTAAGATTAATTACTCCCCCATTTTTGTTACAAAATTTCTACCTTTACAATTGTGACAGTTGTAATTAGTTATGATAACAATTATTCTAGTGAAATCTTTGAGAAGAACATATAAGTGGGTATAAATTTCTCTTTGTGTTGGTTGCTCCCAGGGGTTCTCTCTCATGCTAACACACACTAGGCTTTTTATCAATTCATTAAAAAATTTAGGTAAATTTTTCTCACCACCTTGTATGGTGCTTGGCATCTGCCTCAGGTAGCAAGTGTTTGTGTCTTCTGTTAGCTTGAAGGAGCCTATCTTTCTTTGTATTACAGGCTAGTTGGCGTGCCCTCAGCCCTCTGATGGGCTCTAGAAGAGTTATATTTTATAAATCATGCAGCTTTTTCTTGTTATAAGGGTAGGAGCAGCACTCTTTTCATCACTGTACTATTATTTTACTTTCTGATTAAGGCTTGAGATTTGAGTTTTGCCTCTCCATTTGTTGTTGTTATGTGCCATCAAGTCAGTTCTAACTCGTAGTGACCCTGTATAGGATTTCTGAGGAGAGTCTGGTGGGTTTGAACTGTTGACCTTACAGTTAGTAGCCCAGTGCTTATTCTATAGTACCACACCAGGACTCGTCATTTAGGTGCAGTTCAATACTGACTCTCAAATTAATTACCATTAAAATTATGACTTATATCCTTGCAGAAACCTGGGGATTGTGGCAGCCTTGGAGCCAGTGTAGTGCCACGTGTGGGGACGGCGTCAGAGAGCGTCGTAGAGTGTGTCTGACTTCCTTCCCCTTCAGACCTGGCTGTCCTGGAATGCCCTCAGAGACCTCCCCATGTTCTCTGGAGGACTGTAATGGTAGGTATTCTTCCTTCCTAGGGGAGTCTCTCTCCAGAGACTCCAGCAGAGGCAATATTAAGCCCAGGCCCACCAGAGAATCCTCAGTCTGACTTCAGGAGTAAACTCAAGCTGACCTTCTGTTTTATTGTTTGTAGTACTTGAAAGCACATGTTCAAGTGTCTAAGACTGGGAGTTACTGGGGTGAACACCTTGTTAGTGTGGTGACAGGGGAATTAAACACTGTGAATAAGAAAATAAAATATATCTGAAGTTCTAAATTAAAGAGTCAGACACATTAAGTTTCAAAAATACAAAAATAGGGTCGTTTCTGCCCAAGATTAAAAAAAAAAAAGCTATTTCTCTTTCCTTTGAATCAAAATTGTAGAGAAACATATTTTCCTAATTGTCACCGCATTATTCCAGAGAAACCTGAGGGCACCATATTATTTAGAGAACATTTATTGGTATAGTTGCCTTCCCACCGATTCTATAGAAAAAGAGGTAAATAGGAAGGGACTTCAAAAAAGTTTATGGAAAAATGGAATGAAAAGATAATAGAAGTTTTCCATGAACTTTCTAAACCCCCCTTGTATTGGTGTGCCTACTGGTAAGTTTATGGGCAGCACAAGAGTCCTGGAGTATACTTTCCTGGAGTCCAGGTGTGACGCTGTAGATAAATACTGGACTACAAAGTTGGTTTGAACCACAAGGTGACAGTTCAGACTCACCAGCTGCTTTTCAAAAACGCTATTTAGGTTGCTATGTGTCAGAACCGACTCACACTTAACAACAACAACAGTAGACTCTGGAAGAATTGGATTGGGTTGAAGACTTGAGGAAAGAGTTGAAACTTTGAAGAAGTTACTGTAGAATATGGAAGAGAGTTCCTTAGGCACCCACGAGAGGATCTGTGGGTAGCTCAGAGGCCCCAGCTCAGGTTGGATGCTGTAAATGTGTTAAAGCACTGGCCTGCATGGCTGTGTTATTTCCTGCAGTGATGAGAGCCTGGGCGCAGCAGTGAAGCATCTAGATATCTGGGTTCATCTAGGGTTGAACTTTTGCTGAAGTTCAGGGTAAGGACTGTAGTTCAGTATTAGGTTGAGGATACTGGAAAGAAAATAGTTTAGGTTATAGATCATGGATGTAGGTTGGCTAGGGGGAAAATAAGGCCAGGAGACAGCTGGCAGATTAGTAGAAAAAGAAGGGGTTGTAGAATCAGAAGCTTGAATGAAGTTGAATAGCAGTTTAATAGTCAGAAGCGAGCAGGCAGAAATACAGCTGAGAGTGGGAGATGACATTTAAAATTGTAGAAGAGGCCCAACTGCATGCAGAGAGTGGAATGGTTTGAAGTCACCCAGGATGGTATGAACTCTGGGATGGGGAGGCAGACTGGGAGTCAGATGCTGGAATGATTACCAGATGTCAGGAGGTTGGTAGATGACAGTGTTCAGGGAGGACAAAGAGGGAGGTTCGGATGGATAGCTTGAGCACCATGGGAGTACACGTTCTGCATTGAGGTGAAGGATTAGTGGTTGGAATGGCACTCAGGTATGAGGAGATTGCTGGTTTGTCTGTGTTTGAATGAAGTATGTGTAAGAACTTTTCCACCAGAGAAGGTGGAAGGGAAACTGTGTCCTGAGGGACATCTAGGATTCAGGTAAGGCATGGAGGTGAAGGAGGTGTATTGTGGAAAGGTTAAGGGTGTTGAAGAGTTTGGTTATCTAGTTTGCCATGGGGTACTTACAAAGGAGAGAGGGGAGCAGAGGAGGATGGGCTCAGAAGAAGCAGCACAGAGTGGGTGGTGATAAGCCTAGGGAATAAAGAGATTGGACAAGTGGCTGGAAAGATTTGAAGTTTGGATGCAACCAAGAATGGAAGAGGTAAGACCTGGTGGGATTAGTTGACTTCAGATTTCCAGGTGTTTTGGTGGTAGAACTTGGTGAATGTTTGCATCTTAATGAAACATTTTGATGACTGTGGGACAAAGCAGTTTGAGAGAGCAGGGAAGCAGAAAACACACAGAGAAACACACAGAGAAGGACAATAAAGGTAGGAAGGGGCATAAACAGCATCTAGAAAGACTGAGAAAGCAGAGGAATCAATAATATAGCAAAGGTGGTTTCTGTCTATAAAGGGGAGGAAATGGGTTGTACCTATTATATTGTCAAAAGTCTTCTTTTCACTTGTTCATTTCTCTTGAGATGTGCACACTTAAGCATAACCCACCTTGTTAAGAATTTTAGGATGAGCATCTCAGAGATACATTTTACTACTAATTGTGATTATTGTTAAGTACCATCCAGTCAGTTCCAATTCACAGAAACCCTGTTGGATTTCCAGTGAGAAGCTGACCTTGCTGTTGACAGTCCAGTGCTTATCCTACTAGCCCATGTTAAATTATCTCAGGTGAAAACATTGATTTTATCTTGAAATGTTCTATATGCAGCTTCTATGTAGAAAACTTGAGATATGTTTCATCAGGTGACAACACTGAGCAGCAGGTACTAGTGAGCCTTGATTGTGGATAATGTGGTCGCTTCACTTCCTGTGTCTAAACTGTAATGTTTCCCCTTTATTGGTGATGTTGCTGGGCGTATGTTACCAGCAGAGATACATCTTTATGTCCAGAAATCCTCGTTTGCTCTTCTGCTTCCGTCTTAACCTCTAGATAATGAAAACAAGCCACTCAGAGATGATAAAATCACTCAGTGGAAACAGTACTAAAGAATACATTTGTTCATTGTTTTCCTTGTAGCTTTCCAGCCATCCGTTCCATCTCCTCTTCAGCCCCAGGAACCAGTGAAACCCAACAACATTGTGACTGTCACTGGGATATCTCTGTGTTTGTTCATCATTGTTGCTACTGTCCTCATCACACTGTGGAGGAAGTTTGGCCGTTCTACCAAGTGCAGCACTCCTGCTCGACACAATTCCATTCACTCCCCCAGCTTCCGAAAGAACTCTGATGAGGAGAACATCTGTGAACTCAGTGAGCAGTGCGGGAGCTTCTCGGATGGGGGAGATGGGCCCTCAGGGAGCCCTGAGGAGATGGGCATCCCTTTGACCTATAGGCGGAGTGTGCCAGTGACCCCTGAGGATGATGTCTCTGGCAGTGAGAGCTTCCAGTCCAATGCCCAGAAGATAATCCCTCCTCTGTTTAGCTACCGCCTTGCCCAGCAGCAGCTGAAGGAGATGAAGAAGAAAGGCCTGACAGAGACCACCAAAGTATACCACGTGTCTCAGAGTCCCCTGACAGACACTGCTATCGATGCTGCCGCTGGTGCCCTCTTAGATTTGGAAAGCCCCGAAGAAGCCACAGCAAACAAGTTCCGGATCAAGTCCCCATTCCTGGAGCAGCCCTCGGTCTTTATTGGGGAAAGGCCTCCCTCCAGGCTAGAGTTTAATGCTGCTCAGGCCAGTTGTGCCATAAGCCCCAGCCAGACCCTAATTCGCAAGTCACAGATGAGGCACATGGGCAGCAGAGGAGGTCAGTCTGAGAGGAGTCACCCCAGGAATTCCCACTTCCGAAGGACTGCTAGTTTTCATGAGACCAAACAGGCCCGGCCATTCCGGGAGAGGAGCATGTCCACTCTGACTCCACAGCAGGTCCCCACCTACAGCTCTAGAACACGGACTTGGGACCAGGCAGATGACGGGGTTAGACTTCCAACTCGAGGCTCTCACCTGTTTCCTGAGAAACTGGAGCATTTCCAAGGAATGGGTGGAACCAGCGGTCTATTAAACTCCTACCCTAAGTCCCACACCTTGGGGCAGCACTGGAGAAAACCAGACCTGGGGAATCACCAGGCAGGTTTAGTGGTAGGAAATGAGAAAACAGAGCCTCACAGAGCTCGGAGGGGACCATCCCCGAGCCATCGGAGTGTTTCCAGGAAACAGCCTTCTCCCACTTCCCCCAAAGATAACTACCAGAGGGCGAGTCCACTGAGTCCTTCTCAGTGTCGAAAAGACAAGTGTCAGAGCTTCCCAGCACACCCTGAGTTCGCCTTCTATGACAATACGTCATTCGGTCTCACAGAGGCGGAGCAGAGGATGCTTGACCTCCCTGGATATTTTGGGTCAAATGAAGAAGATGAAACCACAAGTACACTTAGTGTGGAGAAGCTGGTAATCTAAGCCAAGAACCAGCTTGAAACTCTCCACACCAGGTTCTTTGTCGGGGTGGTGGTATCTACTGCTCACATTGTTCTGTGGCCTGTTTTTTTTTTTTATAACTATTTTATTATAGGTCAGAATGTGGGGAGGAAGTAGCTCACAAAGGAGAATGTTTGTGTGCAGAAGAGGAGGTTATTTATCCTGAACATTTCCCTTCATTATCCAGTCGATTCCTAATAACAATGATAATAAATTTTAAACAAGTAAAACAGGACTTGGTCTCTCATATGGACATGAATTATAATACATTGCAACTTGTGACTGTGAAATCTTTGATCATTAGCAGTTTCAGAATTGAAACAAATAGGATTCAACTCCAAAGATTTAGAGCAAAGTTAACTTGGTAATACAATTCCGCATTTGTGTGTGTGAAATATATATGTAGCAAAACATTTTCCAGATGTACAATTCAGTGACCTCAACTATGCTTATCATGCTGTTCAATCATCACCATTATTCCCAGATTTTTCCATTCTTAATGGAAGCTCAATGAATCCATCTTTTCCCCTCCCTTCAGCCCAACCTTGGTAACCTTACTAATAAATTTTGTTCTCTATACATGCCTGTTCTAGATATTTCATATAAGTAGAACAAACAGTATTTATCCTTTTGTAACTATCTTCTTTCACTCAGTATCATGTTTTTAAGGTTCATCTGTGTTGCAGCATGCATCAGAACTTCATTTCTCTCTATAGCTGATTATCCATTGTATGGATAGACCACATTTTGTTCCTCCTCTCATCTGTTGATAAACATTTAGTTTGTTTCTACGTTTACGTTGTTGTTAATCGTGCTGCAATGAACATTGGTGGGCACATATCTGTTTCTGAGTTCAAAGGGAATTATTATAATTACAAAAGAATTTAACTCCTTCAGGGTAAGTATGAACAGTTTCTATATATGGCTAATTAATTTAATTACAAGCAGGCATTATACTACCAAGAAGTGGTAATTCCAAATAATATTCCAGAAGAACTTTCAGGCCAAAGTTGGGTGATAACGTGTTAATAATTTTTATGCAGAAGAGAATCCAGTGGCTTGACACAAAATTACGCGAGTTACTCTGTGGAGAAATAACATAAAAAGCTGATTATTCAGGTAATGAGTCAAGTGAAGACCTGTCCATGCATTCATTTCTGTTCTGAGTACATTTTGGAAAGAAAGGTATCTGTTGAGAAACTAGGCCGTGGGAGCAGACCTGAGACTGCCGGCCACTGATGATATGTGTTGCCAGGCTAGACTGCCGGTGGAGAATCACTCCTGGGTGGCGTCATCTGAACTGTGGATGTGTTTAAAGACAACTCCCAGTTTCTTCAGAAAATGCACATATTTAATTTCATTGGATGGACAGTAGGCAGTCCAGGTTATGATTTTATAGTTCAAACCTTTTTTATTTATT